AATAGCAGAGAGAAAATTCGACAGAAGATGACTCTGTTGAATGGGGAGATCTCCTATAATGGGAAGGTGGTGAAGAAATTCAGTATTAAAGAAGTATGGAGGACTTTAGGCCAAGGGAACCAATTGTTACTTGGTACTCTATTGTTTGAAAGAGACCCTCTATTGTGTGTGTGTTTGAAAGAGACCCTCTATAGCTACTCATATGTCTTTTGTTATTGTAATATGGAGACCAAAACTCATATGTTTACACAATGCTTGTGTTTAAAAGCTTGTTTGCATGTTTGATGGCTCCAGCTTTCCTAGGAATTCGATATTTGGGAAGAGGAGCTTTAGTGAACGATGGATATGCTTAAGGGGAAGACTGTTCGTATTCAAATTGCCCGGGTGACATGTAATGATATGGTAAGCACAATTTGGCTTTGGTTGAAATTTCTCAATAGCAGAGAGAAAATTCGACAGAAGATGACTCTGTTGAATAGGGAGATCTCCTAGAATGGGAAGGTGGTGAAGAAATTCAGTATTAAAAAAGTATGGGGGACTTTAGGCCAAGGGAACCAACTATTACTTGGTACTCTCTTGTTTGAAAGAGGCCCTCTATACCTAAGAACCCGTTCTTAGTTTGGTTAGTGGTCAAAACTATACATTTGCATGTGATAAGATGACTAGATGGGGAGGAGCAGGACCATACTCATATGTCTTTTGTTATTATAATATGGAGACCAAATCTCATATGTTTGCACAATGCTTGTGTTTAAAAGTTTGTTTGCATGTTTGATGGATCCAGCTTTCCTAGGAATTCGATATCTAGGAAGAGGAGCTTCAGTGGATGATGGATATGCTTAAGGGGAAGACTGTTCGTATGCAAATTGCTCTGGTGACATGTCATGATATGGTAAGCACAATTTGGCTTTGGTTAAAATTTCTCAATATGATAGAAAATACGACAGAAGATGACTCTGTTGAATGGGGAGATCTCCTAGAATGGGAAGGTGGTGAAGAAATTCAGTATTAAAGAAGTATGGGCGACTTTAGGCCAAGGGAGCCAACTGTTACTTGGTACTCTCTTGTTTGAAAGAGGCCTCTATACCTAAGAACCAGTTTTTAGTTTGGTCAGTGGGTCAAAACTATATATTTGCCTGTGATAAGATGACTAGATGGGGAGGAGCAGGACCCTACTCATATGTCTTTTGTTATTGTAATATGGAGACCAAAACTCATATGTTTGCACAATGCTTGTGTTTAAAAGTTTGTTTGCATGTTTGATGGCTCCAATTTTCCTAGGAATTCGATATATGGGAAGAGGAGCTTCAGTGGACGATGGATATGCTTAAGGGGAATATTGTTCTTATGCGAATTGCTCGGGTGACATGTCATGCTATGGTAAGTACAATTTGGAGAGAAAGAGAGAGAGAGAGAGAGAGAGAGAGAGAGAGATGTCTTTTGACGCATGGTGGAGCAAAGAAGAGTTGGCCTGTCATGATAGAGAAGATAAAAAATTTTGTTAGATATTTGAAGTGTATGAAACTGGTGAATATTGGCCTTGTTGATGTTTTACTCTAGGTAATAGGTTACTACATGTGATAGTGATAGAGAAATTATAGTTTACCGGAGGTATAGCAGTATAAAAACACAGGTTACTCATTTGACCGGGTGTGTTGCCAAATGTTCTTGCCTTTTTATGATATAAAATCTAACTAATTCATAAAAAAAGTGAAGAAAAAATAATTTTTTATTTGAAAGGAACTGAGCTAAATTTAGGTGGACCGATCAGAGTAAGTCAAAGCATATAAGTAATTATGTACATCAGAATTATGAGTGCATTGATAAAATTATAGTAGATTGATAACATAACTACAAGTCATAATTGGGCTCTGGGACTCAATACGGTGCTAACACTCTATAATTTTAGCACCCTGCTAACACTTTTATTAAGGGTGTGTTGTCGCTGGGACTGAATAGGGTGCTAACACTCTATAATTTTAGCACCATGCTAACACTTGTATTAAGGGTGATAGTGATAGAGAAATTATAGTTTACAGGAGTTAGCAGTATAAAAACACAGGTTACTCATTTGACCGGTGTGTTGCCAAATGTTCTTGCCTTTTTTATGATATAAAATCTAACTAATTCATCAAAAAAGTGAAGAAAAATTAATTTTTTTACTTGAAAGGAAGTGAGCTAAATTTAGGTGGACCGATCAGAGTAAGTCAAAGCATATAAGTAATTAACACTTTTATTAAGGGCATCAAACCATTCATATAAGTACATTCTACGGCAGAACCCACTTAAATCCTTTTTCCTTAATCCTGCGCAAAGCACGGAAGGGGAGTTTAGTCAATTCCTTCTTTCTCTCTTTTTTTATGCGAATTCCTTCTTTCTTTATGTTTAATTCAGCCGAGCTTTTTTATTTTGGGTTTAATAATATGGGCCTCTATAGTTCCAGTCAGCGGGCCTCTTCATTTTGGAGTTTTTTTTATTCAGACGGGCCTATAGTTGGCAGCGAAAATAAAGGAGGAACATGTTCTCTAATTGCACTTATATATTAGACACCATAAACTTAATCACTTGGAGTCTTAGGTATGAATTATTTTCACTAATTGCATTTATACTAGAGATTTAGACGAGATTAAGTAGTGATGTCAATTGCCTATTCATGGGTAATTTTATTCAAACTCAAGTAAACCCATTTATTATGGTAGGATATGAGTGAATTATATATGTGTTTGAAGTGGATTTCAATAGGGTATGAACATTGCTTTCATACTCTAAATAGGGTATGAATATCCATTTTATGCAAATTAAATTTGAAGATCTATTAAGTTTAGGTACCAAACTATAATTTGCAAATGGGAATGAGTACAAACTCAGATTCATAGATTAAAAATTCAATCCAACCCAAATAAATGTGTATGAGTATAAACCCATCAAACTCTATCCATTTATCATCTATTTTGATCTCATAGGTTTGAAATACCCATGAGTTTGGGCAAAATTGTCATCCCTAGATTTAAGTAATTAATTAGGGTTTCCCTGTTCATGTTAGAACCCTCTCCATCATCAACTATTTTACTTACATTATTTAGACTAATATTTTTTACGACTACTAATTTTTGTAGTTCAATGCTTCAAAGAAATATTTCCCCTAGAGAATCATCCAAACAATGAAATATTGTGCTTGACTTTCATCTTTTATAGATAATTTTTAATTATATGCATCTTACAATTTAATGTGTGTTTGTGTCACGCTTGATTTAGAAAAATAGATAATCATTTTCATACCACCAAAAGGTGTGATTGATTATCATTGGTCTCTATGTGAAGCGCTAAGTTTTATAGTGGTATGAGCATTAATGACATATCAATTGTTTACAATCTTTCTAATTATTTCACATTGCTTGACTTTACAAATTATTACTATTCATTTTAAAATTTAAAAAATTAATGAACACAAGACAGAGTTCAAGAGATTTGATTAATCATCGACAAAATTACCAAGACGAAAACGTATTCTTTATTAAAGGCAAATGCTATGTATATGGAAAAATTATAAACATTCCTATCAGAAATCTGTTATAGTAAGAGAAGTGTTAGTTGATGATGAATATATAGTGAAGTTGATGATGAAGATTCTTAATAGTAAAGAAGTATTGATATTGGTCATTTTGGAATTTCTATAATATCATTTAATTAAGTTTGTATAGAATGCACCGTTTACAATGATAATAATCATTTTTATGAATGCTCATTTTGTATTTACCAAAATGACCAATATCAATTTTGTTAATTAGTATTATCAAATTGCAACCGGCCAACTAGCCGGGGTACAATCTACACATAATATAATACACCAAAGGGAAAAACGGGAGCCCCATTTCAAATTTCCTGCAACGAGAGTGAAAGTAGGAAGGACATTTTGGTCTTCACAATTACTTACTTTTATTAATTAAAAAGACACGTACTGGGATTCGAACCATGACCATTTTTAAGAAAGACAAAGATCATAACCAATCACACCAAGTACATTTGTTGTATCTTTTTAAATTAAAAACATATAATAGCAGAGAGGAAAAAATCCTTCCCCCATTTCAAATTCCCTGCTCCATGAGCGTTTGTAGGAAGGGTAGAATAGGGAGTGTCAATTTTTTTCTCTTTCCTCTGTGGAACGGGCCAACTTACCGTACACACACTACAACATTTTTGGTATATTATGACGGATGGATTTCGTCACATTAAGTACCTTCTTCGTCACATGAGGTTTATTGTGACGAAATTGTTTGTCACAAAGTTTCGTTGCAAGAACCCCGTCGTAATAGGTATATTGTGACAAAATAAAATTCATCTTGTCACACCAACTTATACCGTATTGTGACAAACATACGGCGTCATAATAAGTATGTAATGTGACGAAATATCTTGTAGCAATAACTTGATATTTTGTCACAACAAAACACGATTTTGTCACGTTAAACATTAATTGCTGGTACTTATTGTGACGAAAATGTTTGTTATGACGATATGTTTTGTCATAACAAAACACAATTTTGTCACGTAAAACATTATTCGGTGGTGCTTATAGTGACGAAAATGTATGTTATGACGATTTTTTTTGTCACAACAAAACACGATTTTGTCACGTAAAACATTATTCGCTGGTACTTATTGTGACGAAAATGTTTGTTATGACGATATTTTTGTCACGGTGTTGTCGTATTTGATATTTTGTTAATTTATTATGACAAATCACGTCTGTCACAATTTGGGAAGGTTTGATGTGACAAATGGTTTTTCATATTATGTTAGTCTAAATTAGGATTGACAGAACAAATAGTGACAAAAATAGATTCATCATTTGAGAGGTACCCAAGAAGCTGTTGGACATAAAAACAAGCTTCTTCATTCAAACCACAAAATGGCAAATATCTGTTGTTTGCCAAATATCTGCTGCTACATAACAAGCATTACTAAACACCATTATCCGACACTTACACTTAGAAACATTATCCGACACTTACACCTGATAAATATTAATGTTCCTAATAGTTTAGTACCCCAAAATCATGCAGCAACTCAAGCCAACTACTTGATACCCAAAATCAGCAACCTCTGTCCAGCCCTCCTCACATGCCCTCCTCACATGCATCATCTCACCTGTAGATAACATGCATTAGTTCATCACCCCACATTCAGACTGTTGCATTAGTTATGTTGTTATCTCTCAAAGGAGATAGTAGATTACCTCCTTCAGTTGGTATTTCCAGTCATTCTAGCAGCCAAGTCACGAACAGTAGCTTCAAGACGGTGCTGCGATGCTTCCATCTCCTCAAACTTTGTGTCTTGAGTTTGTAGTTTCGACTGCTGAATTTCAATTTGCTCCTCAAATTGCTTGGTCCGCCTTTCAAAAGTCTCCCTTTCTGCCTGCCTTTCTAGCCTTTCGGCTTGCAATTCTCTCTCTAGCTGAATCAGCCGATCGTCGTGCTTCCTTTCTAGATACCCTTGGCTTTTTCTTCAGCACCTTGTCAACAATCTCAGAACCTGGAACATTATTACCTGACTGACTGCTCAAGGCAGTCATATTGGCCTACAAGGAAAGAAACAACAACTCACTCAGTAATCAACATCCATACATGTGCATTCACACATGAAAGTATTCACACACATAGAGGCATACATAATTTTTCTCGGTATCTGGATGAACCCAGCTTCCATCACGCCTCTTATGAGTGTCAGCATACACAACCACCTCTGGAGGCGGCACAGTAGGGTTCTGCTGCTCTGCTGAGTCATTCTGCTGCTCACCGTTACTCGGATCCACTCCATCATTAGTTTTCTCACTATTTGCCATCTTGTCCTTCTCATTCTAATGTTAGAAAATAATCTCATAAGATTTACAAAATGGTATATCCAGTGAAACAACGACAAACATATGTTTTCGCTTACCAGTTCAAAAATCCTTTGACTAAGTGACTTAGCACCTGTTGTATGCGGATACAATACTTGGCTTCTATTGTCTACATTTACGTCACTTCGCTTCTGCATTATGAGGATATCATTCTGTATTTAGGAAATTGAATCCTAATATTCAATGTATTGAGGTAGGTTGTTTTAAGATTACCTTGAATTGCACACTATCAAAATGGTCGCAGAGTAGCTTCCAGTCATCAATGTTCACTTCCTCTATTGGATTCTCCCGAGCATTCACCTTGTCCATCTCATTCTTGTAGTGTTGATGGCAGCGATACTTGAACTGTCGGAATCAACGAGCCATGATAGTATCCACCATATCTCTTACATGTGGTGCAGTGAAGTCTACATCAAACTCACTCTACCATACAGACAACAAACGAAAAGGAAAAAGCATTAAACTCAAATGGAATCTAAACCAATATGTAATTTTCACTGCATATATATGGAAAATGGTTTGGGTAACGGTTACCTCTAGTTTGGCAAAGAGTGGCAGCTTATCTTCTTCAGTGAGATCCTTCCAGAAGAATTTTCCAATTGGAGCTAGCACACGGACGATAACACCTATCTCCATCTTCCACAGCTTATCGTTGGTACCCACAGGTGCTTTTGCTCCTTCTTCAATGATTATGCCGCCAATTTTGGTCCCCTCTTCTAAGCGTTTCTTCACCTCATATCCTTTGGTCTTTCCGCGACTCTTCCTCTTGTCAGCACCTTCTACACAGCATGCAACAACACTAGTTAACTATGTATTACACAACTTTGTTGGTAACGATGAATGATCAAATTAGAGAAAAAACCACAACCTGCAGCATTGGAAGCAGCTTCATCTTCTGTGGAATGTTTTTCTTCTGCTCGTGTCTCTTGCAGATCTAGAATTTTACTTCCAGAAGTCCTGTCTTGAACAGTGGCCTCCGATACAGCAGCCCTGGATCTTGTCAGTCGAGGTGGAGCATTATTCACAGCTCTTGCTTTGGTATTCTTGTTTTTTTTTTTACCAGGAGCCATTTCTGCAATCTACAAACATGGTTAAGAGAAATAAAACAATATCTACCTCAAACACATAAAAAGAAAACCACATATATTCTTATATATATGCACATTTGCAATGTAGATGTGCCAAGAATCCTTTATACATAAGACAGAAATAAAAAAGTCTATTGCAGTACGTATATGAAACACCAAACAATCAATCAGTAAAAGTAAACTACACACCAAATTCCTTTACTAACTATCTCAAATTATGTCATCATCGTTGCTGTTACCACCAATACTATCAGATGTGTGCTCTGATTCACTAGAAGCATTACTAAAAACTGCCATTGTATCATCCTCCTCCTCCTCACTAGTGTCTTCACCATCAGTAGAATCATCCGAGTCCATTGTAGGTGGGACATCATCCCCAGAGTCACTGCTGCTCAGTTCATGCACCAAAACCTCAGTATGTTGGACATCCTCATTCTCTTGAAAGGGTTCAGTTTCATACATAGGATCTATACCCTCTAACTTTTCTGGAACATCATATACTTGTCTCGGACTAACTTTATGGACAACATGCCAATTCCCACCATTCTTTAAATCAGAAACGCAAAATATTTGGTTTGCTTGACTGGCTAAAATGTACGGATCATCAACATACCATTTCTTGGTCATATTGACACTTGTTAGATGGTTGTCTGACCTGATTCCGTTTCTTTTATCCCCTACATCCCACCACTCACATTTAAACACGAACACTTGAGACCCATAGTTATACTGAACCCGAATGATATCGACTATAATTCCATAAAAATCAATTGTTTCTGCATTGTGCTCCCCTTCAACCACAATAGCACTATTCTGTGTACGATGACCCTTTTCACGCTGAACAGTATGGTATCTTACCCCATTCATAATGATACCAGTATACCTAGTTACTATCTCATCAGCCCCTAACCCCAAAATATATAAGTGGTCCTCTTTCCCAACTGACCCATTGAGGTATAGTTTGCAAACCTATAAAGGTAAGGAAAAAATAAAGAGTCAAAATGAAAAATGCAAAGAAAGAAAATGACAGGTCAACTCAGTAAGGACAAAGTTGATTCTTACATGTTTTTTAAACCAAGAAGGGAAATTCTCTTGTATTTCTGCTTCTGTTCTATTAGGATTTGTCTGCAAATACTCTTGTTTATGCATTATGTAAAATAGTGATAACCCTATGAGTTGGAAAATTAACTATTAACTTGGTCTAATCATATTGAACTGTTACCTATAGCACAAGAAACTTACTCAAAAAAAGGTGTTATCTCCTCACAGTTATTCAAGATGTACCATTGAATCTTACTCAATTCTGTTGGGGAAAGTTTCTGACGAGAAGCACCTCCTATTGGTCTAGCTTTTTTGCTCCGAGGATCCCCATGGAGATATACTCGGGCAAATGAAACCTTTGTCCAGTAGTTCTTGCAATTGCTCCTTCTACTCCTTCAGCTCTACTGGCGCCATTAGGTATGGCGGTATCGAAATTGGTGCAGTACCCGGTACAACTTCAATGTCAAACTCAATCTCTCTCCTTGGGGGTAAACCAGGGAGATCTTCTGGAAACACATCTTGGAATTCCTTGACAATGTCCACCCTCTTCGAGCTTCACTTCTAGTGTGGTAGTAACATGAGCCAAATAAGCTTCACACCCATCTTGAATCAATGCGAATGATGTGGTTGCATATATCAAACTTCCTGGAATGGCCCTACGTATCCCCTTGAACACGGCCATTCCTCTTCCTTCCAAGTCAAATCGAACCTCCTTGTTGAAACAATCCACTATCGCTCTGTGCTAGGATAGCCAATCTATTCCCAAGATAATATTGAATTCATCAAAAGGAAGTAACATAAGGTTTGCCTCCAGATCATACCCAGCGACTTCCACTATGCATTCTCTGACTATGGAATTAACTATCAACGTATCGCCCACAGGTGTACGCACCCCCATATTCTGATTGAGGTGCACAGGTACCATCCCAAAGGTTCTAGGAAAAGCAGTAGATACAAAGGAATGCGTAGACCCAAGATCTATCAAGGCAAAAGCAGGACAGTTATGAATATAAACCATACCAGTCACAACCTCTAGGGTTGCGTTAGCTTCTTCACTCCCCCATAACAAAGAGTCTAGGTTGCCCGCTAGCTTTCGACATTTGACTCTGGTCGTGACGATTATTGTGGATGTTGCTGGTGGTGACTGCTCTATCATTGAATCTTCCGCCTGATTGCATCCTTCCTCCACCAACCGAAGGCTCAGATACCGCCATAGTGCGTCACGTGAATCGTGGGCAATTGGCCTTTTTATACCCCGGCTGACCACATCCAAAGTAGAGGCCTAGCTTGAACCTCCACTCCCCCGGATGATGTTTCTCACAAAATTGACAGAGCGGGTACTGTGTCTGGTACCACGTGGGTGCAATCCTGTAAGAGCCTGCCTTGCTATGGGAAGGCAGCTGGAGGGTAGAAATAGGTCCTCTCTTAGAAGGGTGAGTTGAGAGAGTCTGGCTCCCCGAGTAGGTGGACTCTTTCCTCTTCCGGACATCGAATCTAGAAGCCCTCTCTTCCTGAGCCATCTTCTCATCCTTCTCGATGCGAAGGGCAGCCCGATAAGCTATGGGTTGAGATACCCTCTCCGCTTTTCCCATACATTCCTTAATTTTTCCTTTCAAGCCTCGAATATAGCGATCTCGCATCCCTGTCGCTGTTCAGTATGCGGGATCAGCATATTTTCACAACTTCTTAAATTGCTTAGTGTATTCAGCGACAGCCTGCCCCCACTCCTACTTCAATTTCATGAACTCTTCTCTCTTGTCATCTCGAATGGAGTCGGGGATATACTCATCAAGAAACATCTTTATGAATCGATTCCAGGTGATTGCTAGAGGTACTTCTTCACTTTCTGGTTGGAGGTGCCACCAATCTTTTACTGTCCTCTGGAGTACGTGTACCGCCATGGCAATCCTATCCTCATCATTGTCGATACGAAGCTCATCCAGGGTTTGGGTGAGCTTCAAAAGCCACGCATCAACCACCTCGGGGTTAGAAGATCCCTCAAAGTCAACGACTCCCATTTTCCTGAGTGCGACATAATTTGGAGGTGGGCGTCGACCACCACCTTGCGGAGCGCCTCCCATATTCATACTCCTACATGAGGGCAATGGCTTTGGACAGAATCTTGAAGACATCGTACTTATTAGTAGACGAGACTGGATGTTCTAAAACAATTTTGGGTTCCATGAAAACTTTGTTAAAAAGTTTCTAAAACATTCTGAGCTTGTTGAAAACATGGAGACCGACTTCCCAGTATCTCACTTAAAAGTGAAGACAAAGGGAAACCTGTTCTGATACCAAAATGTAACACCCTAGACCGGCCGGTCACATAATTTACCAAAATGTCCTTAATGACCATAAAATGTTCAATATGAAAAGTGCGGTAGAAATATCACATCAATCAAATCCGAATTCAAAAGGGAAACACATTCTTAATCAGGAAAAGCGAACATCCGTCTCAAGTCCACTAACGAACAATGCATAAACTTTAAAAGTTCTTCGTGAAGCTTCCTTAGCCACTAACCCCTCTGATGACATCCTGAACAGCAACTGTGCACCTGTGGGTGGTCTACAAGCTCCTGGTTTCTAGCAGCTCCTGAATGCGGGCGCTGGGGTCAGTCTTATTCCTAATTCCATTCTTTAAATAATATAGAAAATGAAGCAAAATGCAAATGGATGCAAATGTTCATGCATAAAAATATTTACTGGACTTGTAAATAATTATCTTGAAATAGCCATTCTTTACTAGGCTTGGCAACGGGGCGGATCGGGGCCGGGTAGCCTGGATCCGTTGCCCGCCCACCATGGGCCTCGGGTTCCCCGTCCCCGGCCCAAACGGACTTACGGGCTTGGCTGGATAACCATCCCCATCCCCAATGGGTAATCGGGTGCCCGCGGGTCCATTATACCCGCTACAAACATTAAAAAAAAAATTAAAAATGACAAAAAAACTGGAAAACTGAAAAATTTATTCATACTGAATGTCACTGATCTGTCAAAATGACTTGAACTAAACAAATGAAAGCATGCCAAGCTGCAATAGTGGCACTATGCCAACAGCTCAGCAAGCAACAACACCAAAAACAACATTTGTTCCATGTTTGTGAATCACAATGATCAAATGAACCAATAACCAAAAACAGCCGACTCTAAATTCTAAAATGTCTAATTCGTTTGCCAAAAACAGTAGAAAGAAAAGCTGCAAGCAACAGCAGCTCATCAACATTCCAGGTTCCAGCAGCATCGATTCATTGAGGAATCATCCACCCGACCACCCCTGACCCTCATTCCAATCGATGTAAACCAGCAGACCAGCAGACATCAATTGAAACTGTGTAAAGAACACACACTGTTAGTAAAGACTAAATGCATAAAACTCATTCATCAACGACAACAACTGGTTTTGTGAAGACATTTTTTACCTTGGTCCCACAGTAGATTACCAATCAGTCTTCATGGGCAAATGGTGATCTCATTAAGGTGAGTTCTGGACCTGAAATAGAAACAATGCAAATGTAAGTATTCCTCAATGAAAGAATACAAAGAACTAATAGAACACACTTTTTAAAAATGATCTATTGAGCTTACCACCAGGTTCTGCCTCTTCCACA